ATCTTTTCTTTTTATAAGATCACCAGTCATATTGGATTATGGTTTTTCCTAAAAACTTCATTTAACTTAATTTCCTCTTTGAAGACCCTATCTCCAAAGATAGTCACATTTCGAGGTTTTAAAGGTTGAGACTATAACATGTGAATTTAAACTTCCTTTATGTTCCTTCTAGACATTAAGTCTGATTCCCTTCACTACTCACCCACCCTTTTCTGATTAACACAGTTGGTTCTTCACCCCATTTATGCAATCACCAGGAGAAATCCAGGACTCCCCATGCTACACACAGTTCAGACTCATCCACTCAGAGCTCTGAGTGTTCCCTCCTCTTACCACACCTCCCTTCTTCTCCCTGTGGTATTTCTTGAACATTTCCCTCCAGAAATCAGGGCTAATCACTAGCAAAATCTCCTTACCTCAAATCTCAAACTATTCTAAAAGTTTATTTTCTTGCTGAAACCAAAACCTCTGAAGGGAGATAAGGGGAAAGCTTCTTGTAAATCTGTATTGTCTCTCTCGGGCTACTCTTTCTCCCTCTTCTTTAAAATCCCCCTTATGGAAGTTCCCACCTCCAAACTTCAATCACCCATGTCCCCTCCTTATGGTTGTCATCTTTAGATTTCTGAGCAATTACTGGATTTTTCCTTGCAGATTTCTACTTGTGGGTTGCTGATAATTCTATCCACACAGTCCAGTCAGAGCTAATATTGGAATATCCACCTAAATGATCCATTCAACACTCTTTCAACTCAGGTTTGGTGTTTTTTTGTTTTGTTTTGTTTTTTGTTTGTTTTTGTTTTGTCATCTTCTTTTGTCATGTCATTTTCTGTACCATATCTCAGGTGCTCATTCCTGTAGTGAGTTATATCATAGATTTTGTCATTGCCAATTATCATTTTCTGTACCATATCTTAGGTGCTCATTCCTGTAGTAGTGTGTTATATCATAGATTTTGTCATTGCCAATTATCATTTTCTGTACCATATCTCAGGTGCTCATTCCTGTAGTGGGTTATATCATAGATTTTGTCATTGCCAATAATTGCATTTTCTTCATAATTTCAGTTTTTTATATTCTACTATCTATCCATTCTTTCTTATCTTTCAGATCATTGATGTCTAACTGCAAACTTACAAGGATATTTAGCCATGAGATTCTATTAAAATAATTACCTATTTTTCTGTCTCTCACCTACTTCATGCCTTTACATCTTTGCTTTCCCATCTTAGATTCAATTGTAGTCCTTCATTTAGAAACTCTTTTTTACTTCCCTCTCACTCTCACTCCCACACTTAGTTGGCACAACTTAATCATAGTAAAATCCAATTTTCTTATCTGTATACTCCCAGCCAAATGAGCCTGGAGAAAAACAACTATGCCACTTCTTGGCAACAGACACAAAGTAGATCCTTAAAATTACCCAGAAATTCCATAACTCTCCCTATTCCATGGGCATTCAGTTGTATATAAACACCTTGTTTGTGCCTCTTTTTCCTCAGCTCTCCAACACATATTTCTCCTCATTTTCAGTTGACCACCTATTTCACTGAAGAAACAGAAGCAAATGAAACAGCACTTCCCAACATTCCCCATTACCCTATCTTTCAATGTATCTACATCTACTTGCAGACACTCTGCCTTCCATTTTGTAACTGTGTGTTCTTATATAAGACTGACCCTTGTCTAGATTCCATTTCTCTTGCCTACAAACTCATTGCTTCAAACACTTATTAAAAGAATGTCAGAAAAAATGTCCTCCACTGGATTTTCTCTTCAATATTCAAACATTATTAATCCCTCCATTAAATGGAATGAAGGAAGGAAGGAAGGAATGGAGGGAGAAAGGGAAGGAGGGAGGGAGGGAGGGAGGGAGGGAGGGAGGGAGGGAGGGAGGGAGGGAGGGAGAGAGGGAGGGAGGGAGGGAAGAAAGTCCTTGCATAAAATCATAGTGTCCTCTAGCTACCACACAATTCATTGTTCTCCTTTATAGAAAATTTTCAAAAGTATTTATACTAAGCTCCACTTTCTTTCCATTTATCTTCCCTTGTGTCCACTGTAATCTCTGTTTAATCCACCAATTTATTATTGGGCTTCACTAATGATTCCACACTATTAAATGTAATAGTTAATTCCCAAACAATTATATCTTACTTGTTTTATCTGCAGGAATTATAGCCATTGATCATCTCCTGCTTTTGGAATGTGGGACTGAACCCTCAGTTCTGGCTTTCTCAATCTCCTTCACTAGTTACTTCCAACTCTTCAATTTCTAGCATTGGCACACCTAAGGCTTCAATCTGATAGACCCTCCCTTTCTCCAGTTGATGGACAGATGTAAACCCCACCTGCAGCCACACAAACTCTCCTTTTTTCTATCTATAGTCACTCCTTAGTTTATTTTTTTCTTCCCAGCTTTATTAAGATATAACTGACATATAACATTTTTTAAGTTTAAGGTATATAAAATAATGATTTTATATGTACATATTGCAAAATGACTGCCAGAATAAGGTTAGTTATAATAGCCATCTTGTCACATAGTTCAAATTGTGTGTGTGTGTGTGTGTGTGTGTGTGTGTGTGGTGAGAAGTTTTAAGTTTTATTCTCTCAGAAACTTCAAATATGTAATACAATATTGTTAACTATAGTCACCATGCTGTATGTTACATCTCCATGACTTACTCATTTTATAACTGGAAGTTTGAATCCTTTGACCATCTTTAGGATCTTTCCCTCTCTCCACTCCTTGCCCCTGGCAGCCACCAATCTAGTCTTTATTTGTTTGTTTGTTTATTAGATTCCACAAGAAAGTGAAATTAGTATTTGTCTTTCTCTAACTGACTTTCTAACTTATTTCACTTAGCATAGTGGTCAGCAAACTCATTAGTCAACAAAGCCAAATATCAACAGTACAAGGATTGAAATTTCTTTTGAGAGAAAAATTTTTTTAAACTTAAACTTCTTCTAATGCCACTTCTGCAAAATAGATTCGCCCAGGCTGTGGTATTTTGTGGAAGAGCCACACTCAAGGAGCCAACGAGACTCATGTGGCTCACAAAATGCAGTTTGGAGACCATGGACTTAGCATAATGCCCTCACGGTTCATCCAGGCTGTTGCAAACTGCAGGATTTATTTTTATGTTTTAATGGCAGAATAATTTATACATATACATATACTCTTATGTTTTCTTTACCCATTCTCTGTCAATGGACACTTAAGTTGTTTCCATCTCTTGGCTATTGTAAATAAGGTTGCAATGGCTATAAGATTGTAGATATCACTTTAAGATAGTCATTTCATTTTCTTCAACTCTATATCAATAATTGGAATTGTAGGATCATATGATAATTCAAATAGATGATCTTTTCATATGGCTTCATTATCTTTGTTTTGGTGGCTTTAGTGTATATCTCCCACCTACTTATCTTTCCTTGACCCCAGAAACATATATAGAATTGGCAATTGAACATCTATGACAAAAAATAGATAATAACAATAAAAAAATAACTGGTTCTATAATTTTTAAAATTTTATAAATGAAATTTTTCTTTCAAATTACTTAGGTAAAAAATTGTTTACCTTTTCTTCCTCTTTTCCTCATATTTCACATCTATTCCATCAGCAATTTCAATTAGCTTTACTTTCAAGTTATTCCAATTTAATCATTTTCATCATTTTTATCACTATAAATCTGGTAGAAGCCATCATAACTCTTATTGCAAGAATGTTCAATAAATTACTGCACTTTGGGGAGTGAGTTAAAAATTACTTTTTAAACATAATTTGTTATTTCTTATGTTCAGCATTACAGAACAACATCAACATAAACAACTTAGTTTTTAATTAAGAAATTAAGCAAAATATTTCTCAAATAATTTAAATATGCTTTTTTTAACTACAGAAATTAGTCCAACACAAAATTTGCTTAGAATATTATATTATGGTTTATATAAAAGTCTGAGTCAAATGTTTTGGGTTTTTTTTAGAATCAATAGACAAAAATATAGAATGCTTTAAGATCAGCATGATTCACTGATAGGTACCATATGTCTCTTGAAACTCTTAATGAATATAGTCATGAGTTTAATTTACAAATTATAGAACAAGGAAAAATACTTCAAAATTAGGAAACAGGAAAATAAGCATAAGATTCAATGAGTTGAATAGTACTTTAACTTAGGTAAAGTTCATGAGCTTTAACTGTATACTCTCACTATGAGAGGTGTTCCAGAACTTTAATAATGGAAATAAAAAGCTGAATATGTTGTGTGTCATAACAAACATCTTTTTTAAAGCAGCTATGGGAAGGCTAAGTTTTTTAATTGGATAAAGGGAAGGAAGGTAGAGCACAGTACAACATAGTTGCAAATAAGGTAATATATTTTTTTTCTAGAAAAACAAGTAACAGGTATTATAAATCAACTGTGTCTGTAAATATATTGTTGTAAAGTGAATCAGGAAGTGGGACATGGCAAAATGATTCATAGGTTTCTATATGAATTAGACCAAGAACCAGCATCAAATAAATCATAGCTTTGGCCATCAATGTCTTAAGAACAAATGTTCAGCAATTAGATGCTTATTATTCAAGTTAAGTTATCAGGAATCCTACATTAGTTAGACAATTTACACTCTTTCCAACCCAGACACCCATATACACAAACATATGCACAGAGATTGGGACACACAATTATCGTGAACAAATATTTGTAAAGGATAAAGATCGTTCCATTCTAAATACTGAGGAAAATATTGCAATGATTAATTGAATCTTAAATAGAAGCTAAGTAAGATAAAGAAAAGAAAAAAAAAAAGAATTGAAGTACAAACATAGAAGAAATGAATAGATACAATTCTCTAATCCTAAACCCATACTTTCTTTAAAATATAAAAAAAAAAGGTTAATAAAATGTTCCTTTTTCTCTAAATTTCATTTTTAGGTGGTATTACTGCTGAGTTTAAGTAAGATTAGATGTATTTAAACTTGTCCATTCAATACCTTATATAGCAGATGTCCCAGCATAGAACCAAGCTGGGCATTCTAGTTACCAGGGATGGTAGAAATTCTGGCTGGAAAAGGGAATGGAAGCAGGAAATAATACAGACATAAAATTGAATCATCATTGTTTTATAACTACCCAGCTAATTTTCTTGCAGTTGATAAAGGTAGAAATTAATCAGTAACTTGCCCTTATAGAAGATTAACATTAGGAGTAAATTATTATAGCAAGTGCAAGTTTTCCCTGACTCTCCTAGTTACTAATCTGCTAGACTAGGCAAAGCATTGCTTACCTCAGAGATATTTTCAGAATCAGAGAGCCTGAAAAATGTCCATTCTGTCTTTTACATCTAGGTCACTTTTATTTTTATTGCTCCAAGCTTCTATTTCCTCATCCATAAAATAGGGGTATTACCTATATATTAAATTTGTGCTTTTTTTATATTGGGATAAAATACTATGTAATAAACAGGGAATATGCTAATTGAACACCGCACCCTCACCAAGATGGTGGCACCCACAGCCAATAAGGAAAGAATATGCTAATTGACTGTCCTCAAAGATGACAGTGCCCACAGCCACAAGATGGCAGCCCCCAGTCCTCTCAGACCTGCTGGGGTGGCAGGTGCATGGCACTGCCAGGCTCACCCCCCAGTCGTGTCTGGCCTCTCTGTGCACCTGTCTCTGGAGTCCCACAGTCCTGTCAGCCCCACAGCCACCCAGGACTGGTCCAAGGCACAGGCAAGTCTCACATGGTGGCTGCCCAGTCACTCAGGGCCTTCTGAGGCTCAAGTAACTAGAGCCGGCCAACACTTGCACTGCTGGCAGTGGCAGCAGCAGATATGTGATTGGGCATCACCTTCCCCTGATTGCCTGGTAACTTCCTGTCCCTGAAGGCTCCTGGACTGTGAAAGGGAGTAGGCTGGGCTGAAGGAACACCCCTTTACTGCATGAATTTTCATGCAGAGGGCTTCTGGCAATATATTAAGTTCCAGCAAGTGAATGGCAGGTCACAAAATCGAGAGCTGATTGGACATGTTGAGATAGGAAGAAAAGTTAATCATGTCTTATATCTTTTTTTTTACTAAATAACTAGATAAATGGTGAACTTATTCATGGAAATAGGGATGCAAAGAAGTCAAGTATAATGTAGATGTGTTGAGGAAGAATGTGGAGAAAAGTAAGATGATTTTAGTTTAGGTGTGTTTTGATTAAGGTGCCTATTTATAAGAGGTGCCTGTCACTGCTTACTCCATTTATATCTCTTCCTAAGAAAAATTACATTAAACATGTACCATTTGACCCTATGCCCTGCCTATTTCTCATAAGCCCAACTGGAAAAGGTGAACTTGGAATGTTAGACCCCATCATTTAAAAATTGGGAATAAGATAATTAGGCTAAGGAAGTTGTACTGAAGGAATATGTAGTCTTTGTGACTGACTGAGAATTTGAAGCCACACAGCAAGAGAAGATAATGGAGTACATACTGAGTGATGATAGAAGACAGAGACAGACACATAGGTATAGATAAATAGAAAGATAAATTAGCTTTAATTCATTAATTGCTGACTTTTAAAATTCCAAAATTGTAGGGAGGCCTACTTGCATTCCTATTTCTATTTTTACCTGCTATTATATCCTTAAAATAAGCCTCCTTTGCAACCAGATATGCCCTGACTAAAATACCGTGGGTGTAACCATCTTTCTAGTTGGTATTTTCTGTTTTTTATTACTCCCAAAGGACTCTAACACAGTCATTACTACATATGATCAATGAAAAAAAAATCACAGATGATATATTTTAACAAGTAGAATATTTCAGAGAGGTTCACATTGCAATCATATACTTAGAACACAAATATGTATGTTTCTCATTTCAGAATTGGCCTAACATGAAAGGCCATGTCTATTTCATGGATTACAAAATTGTCACTTAATCTAATCCCCCTCCCTGAAACCAGGAAAAGGCATCACTAGGCAGCCATTTATTCTTCTCTCCTGCACTGCCTTCTAACGTAATATGATAGAAAGTTTAATAAAGGAAACATATCAAAGTGTTATAATGCATTGTGCTAAGAAACCACATAATCATTTCACATTTTTGTAACTCTCACGTTTAGTATTCCATATGTCAAATTGTCTTTGAGGAAAGGTGGAAAAAGAGAAACCTCCCATTAAGAGTCTAGATCTGCCCTAATTAGTTTGGCTCAGTGGATAGAGTGTCAGCCTATAGACTGAAGGGTCCCAGGTTCAATTCCAGTCAAGGACATGTACCTTGGTTGTGGACACAACCCCAGTAGGAGGCAGCTGATCAATGTTTCTCTCTCATCGATGTTTCTAACTCTCTAACTCTCTCCCTCCCTCTCTGTAAAAAATCATTAAAATATATTTAAAAAATATTCTAGATCTGTCTTCAGCCCCATACCTCTATAGTTTTTGGAAGGTAACTAATATAGTTTCAAATACATTATTAAATAAGTTTTTTATTTAATTTACCTATCTTTAACTTGACACAACTAGCATAGCACTTAATTATAACAGGAATAATTTAGACATATTATTAATTTATTCACATCTTTCAAAACATGGAAGGTGACATCTTTCTATATATGGAAAATGGTGGTTAATATTCTGTAATTTCTTTTGGAAAGTTAATGTGATTTTTAAATCACACTTATTTCTAGAGACATTGCCAACAAAAATACAAATTGCCTACAATATACATCATTGGCTCGCTGATTCAAGCCAGCCATTCCATCACTTGCCTTACATGGAACTCAGATTCCAGAGGGTAACTGGAGCCATAGAGTTCATGGCCTTGGAAGGAGATTATCATTAAAGTGGTGAGCTGTGGGAATATAAAGATGTAAGAGGTCAGGGAACTGTCTGTCTTAGGACATGGTGACATAGCAACTATGAAACACAAGGAAAAGCTTTGAGAAAGACAAACATATATAGAACATAAAAAATGCAAGTGACTAAAAGACCTTTGAAACCATCATGAAAAGTTATAACTGTTCATGGATAATATTACTTTATGAGTGCTAATATTAAGAAGAACTCACTAGGGTATTCTACCAGTAACAATAACATGTTGCCCATTCCAAATCCTAGTCCTCAGTGGGTCTTTACCATGGACATTGCAAAAGGTTGCATTTTTTGAGCCTGTAAACATTGTGTCTCAGATATCTTTAAATCTCAGAGGAAAAAGATGCTCATCTAAAAAGGAAACATTCTGTTTAACATAGTTCTAATTTGAAACGTACTATGCCCATGGGGCTCCATCACTTTGGGTTTGACCTCTGGTACATGGGAAGATGCAATGGCCCCTGTGCATAGATATGCAGACATTGTCTTAGAAGAATGTTAATTAGCTATTCTGAAACATCTTGCTGATTTGTTACAGATCTGAAAGTTCCTCTGTTTTAAAACAAAATATGACTTAATGTCATGTTTGAAATGGAAAAGTCTGTTGAGAAGTAGAGTGGGCACACGATTCATATTCTTACCGTTGTCCTCACATGACTTCTTGAGTCCTTGTGGTGATGGAGGTTACAAATGGCAACATTCACTGAGATTAGAAATCCCAGGCATGGCCGAAACCAGTTTGGCTCAGTGGATAGAGCGTCAGCCTGCAGACTGAAAGGTCTCATGTTCAATTCTAGTCAAGGGCATGGTTGCGGGCACATCCCCAGTAGGGGGTGTGCAAGAGGCAGTTGATCGATGATTCTCTCTCATTGATGTTTCTTACTCTCTATCTCTCTCTCTTCCTCTCTGTAAAAAATATATTTTTTTTTTAAAAGAAAAAATAGAAACCCCAGGCATGTATGCCCTTAAATCTGCAACAGAGGACATAGTATGGTGGAACTGCTCTCATCTAGAACCGTTTTTGGAATTACGCATGGGTTTAATTTTCCCCTGCAAGGTAAAGAAGGCCAATGTTCAAAACTGAACATTCATATTTGTTAGCCCCCATAAAACCCCGGTTATTCTGACTTCCTAAGATTATGCCCAATTACCGGTTTCGGTGGTACTTGCAGTTTATTTTTATTTTTTTTAAATATATTTTTATTGATTTTTCACAGAGAGGAAGAGAGAGATATATAGTTAGAAACATCGATGAGAGAGAATCATCGATCAGCTGCCTCTTGCACACCCCCTATTGGGGATGTGCTGCAACCAAGGTACATGCCCTTGACTGGAATCGAACCCAGGACCTTTCAGTCCGCAGGCCGACACCCTATCCTCTGAGCCAAACCAGTCCTGGCGGTACTTGCAGTTTAAATGAGATGCATTAGAGTGGCAGAAACTTATGAACACAACCATATAAATGGCAGTCAATACAATAAACACTATCAAGAGAGATTTTATTTGCTCTTATGGTTCCATCTAACAGCAATATGTATCTTTAAACTAAACTAAGGCAGATGTAAATCTGGGCTGTACATAATTTTCCCTCTGACGATTGTGAGACAATCATTTGTGTAATGACAATAGGTAATACTCTCAAATTTCATAATTCAAACAAGCTACACAATTTCAAGCCATGGATCATTTAGCTCTTTAAAGGCAATAATAAGGCACTAAAACAGATTCATTATCAACTCAAAGCTAATCACAAATCAAGTTTTCTCTTGGTACAGATATTTTATTATTCTATATTTAACTGACAAATGCCTAAAGGAAACCAAGAATAAAATAAATCAACACCCAGGATTTATTTCATGTAGTTTTCTCTCCTTTTAGACTTAGGCTGGCAGTTTAAGTCTTTCTGTATTAATAAATTAAAAATGAATTTATTGTAGTAAGGAGTGCAAGGAAGAATCATCTTATTTAAAGAATTGAATGCGCTTAAATAATATATAAAGAATACTCAAATTCAATGATAATAAAAAAAATACCTAACTAATTCAATTAGAAAATGGATGTGCAAACCACTTGAACAGACATTTCAGCAAAAAATATATGCAGATGGAAAATAAGTACATGAATTGCTTTCCACATCATTATGGAACAATCCACAATTAGATATCACTGAATACCTATCAGAATAATTAAACTAAATATAGTGACAACACAAAATGCTGACAAGGATGCAGAAAAACTTGAATTGC